AACCCCCCCCAGGGCAGGACAGCATTGGTGGGAGCTGCCAGAGCAGCCAGCAGAGCTGAACACTTCCGAATGGCCAAAGCCAAACCGGCACCTGGTTTGCCACGGCTGCATCCCACTCCTGTGCCGCTCTCAAAGCATCCTGCTCAAAGTGAGTGACTGAGTGACTGAACCTTTTTTTTTTTCTGTTTCTCCCACAAACGGGTGCCAGGGCACCCACCAGGATTACCTGCAAAACCTCCTGAGCTCTCCCAGGGGTCCTCAGATGGGAAGGCTGGGGGAAACCAACCGCTTGCTTGAAAACTCCCCGTCCCTGTTAGCAGGCTTTTCCCACCAGCACCGATTTCTCCCGCAGGCTTCTCCAGCCAGCATAGATCCGGGGCACATCCTGCCCCGTCTGCTCCTTGCAGCCGTTTATCACCGGAAAACAGGGGCTTTGGGTTGTTAATTAACCTGTTGCTATGAGTATAACTGAGCGCGGAGGTAATGAGGTTCCCCGGCGTGGGCTGGGAAGGTACGGCACAGGCACAGGCACAGGCACGACTCGGCAGCAATAGCTGGATGTGGACAGGGCTGACATCCCGTTGCCTTGCCGCGCACTCGGGAATCACACCCGTGTATCCGAAAAGCACGGATCCGGGGTGGCAAAATGCCGGCGGCGATGGGCAACACCTGGAACACTTCAAAGCAACAGAGCAGCAGCTGAATGCCAAGCACGGTGTGATGGCACAGAGCTGGCACACAGGGAAAGCCTGGCCCTCCGCACGTGGAATGCTGAATCCCAACGAGGCTTCAGCCCATCCCACTGCACTGGCATCGTTAAGATGGTACTGGGGTGATTGGAGGCTAAGATCAGCTCCTTTCAGCCGTTACTCAACTAGGACCAGAAATCCCAGTGGGGATGTGGGTGGGGGAACTGGTATTTCCCCTCCAAGCCCTATATGGTCCCGCTTGCCCCGACGCCAATCGCTGTTTCCTGAGTCGAACAATAGTGTATTTCCCCTCCAAGCCCTATATGGTCCCACTTGCCCCGACGCCAATTGCTGTTTCCTGAGTCGAACAATAGCAAAAGAAAATCCCCCGAAAATGGTTTCGCAGTGGGAAAAACACGGTTCCCATCTGTGCCAGTGATAAGAAGCACCGAAGGGAGCTGGCATGTGCCAAACCCACGCTGGGGCTCGATCCTGCCCCATCATCTTCCCAGCCTGGGGTGGCAGCGGTGATGCTACACGTCCCCAAAGCCACTGGGGCATGTCACCAGTGTCACCTTGTTTTAGCCTCAAAATCAGCCAGATGGTGTAAAAAGAGGTGGTGGACATACCACTGGGGTCACCAGCACAGAGGAAGGCTTGGCCCCGGGCATCACGTTGTATCCTTCCCACTGCCATGAAGAGAACACGCTGGTCTCAGAAAGAAAAGACGAGGAATAATATTGTGACCTCTACAACTGGAGGTACATGGGGAAAAAAAACCCCTAAAAACCCACAAAAATAAAAGTCCCGCTGTTTACTACCACTGTCCTGCTCTCTGGGTGACTTGGCAGGAGGTATTTAAGCTTTTGGACGTGGCATGTGGCTTCTGGATGTGACATTTTTCCCGAGGAGAAGGGAAAATGCTCTGATGCCTCAAACAAACACCGGAAACGGGGCGATCCAGGGGTTTTTCTCTTTTGTTTTCCTTTCAGGACTATTAGGAAAATACACCAACGTTCTGTTCCTTGAGATGCTAATGAGCCTGCTGCTCGTCACCCGCAGCCTGTTACCCAGGCAAGGACTCAGGAACCAGATGGGGAAACTGAGGCACGGAGCGGCAAGTCGGGACAGGCTCCCCGAGGTGCACAACAGCTTTGCATGACCAGCCTCCATCGTAGGGACCACAGATGATGTGCCAGAGGAGGCGGGGACCCCAGTGGGGACCCCAACGGAGACACTCCCCCCCCGCAAAGGGGATGCCGCAGCGCCGGTCACCCGGGTGCTTCACAAAGTGTCCTTGTCCTTGGCCAGTGGCCCGTGCGCGCAGGGGCCAGCCCGCACGTTATTCACGGCATCGGCACGCGAGCCTTT